AATGCATCCATGTGCCAGGAGGGTGGCACACCCCACACTCCATGGACACAGAGCTCCTGTGCTTGGGAACTTTTCAGACCTGGCCTATATACCTCTTCATCTGGCTGTTCATTGGTATCCTTTATAATATTCAGTATAATAAACCAGAAATAATAATAAAGTGTTTCCCTGGGTACTGTGAGACATTATAGCAAATTATCAAACCTGGGGAAAGGGGTCTCATGGGAACCCTCAATTTGTAGCCAACTTGAAGGGAAGTGTGAGTAACTTAGAGACCAACCACTTGTAATTGGCATCTGAAGTACGGGCTGTCTTTTGATACTCAACCCTTAATCTGTGGGGTCTGAGCTAATTCTGGATAATTAGTGTCAAATTTGAATTAAATTGTAGTTCATCCAGTTGGTGTCTACAGAGAATTGGAGAATTGCTTGGTGTGGAAAAGCCACACATTCAGTGTCAGAAATGTTGTGAGTTGCGTGCCTGGGTGGCTCAAACGGCTGCACGTCTGCCTTCGGTTCAGGTCATGATCCCAGGATCTTGGGATTGAGTCTTGCATCCGGCTCCCAGCTCCACAGGGAGTCTGCTTCTCCCTCTGCCCCTCCCCCCACTCGTCCTCTCAATCTCTCTCTCTCTCTCTCATTCTCTCTCTCAGATGAATGAATGAAATCTTTAAAAAAAATGTTATGAGTAGAAAAAAAAAATGTTATGAGTAGAGAATCAGATATCATTTAGCAAGTAATACAAATAAAAATATTCCAGCTTGGAAAGGAAGAAATGAAACTGTCTTCATTCACATATGTCATGATCATCTATGTAGTAAATCTGACAGAATCTTCAAAAAACTATTAGAACCACTAACTACATTTATCTAGTTTGCCAAATATATAAGTTCAACATATAAGACCAAATTGAATTTTTATATAATACCAAGGAACAATTAGAAATTGAAATTTAAAAAGTAATACCATTTGCAGTAGCATCAAAGAGTATGAAATATAGTATTTAAGGATAAGCCTGACCAAGATGTGTAAAAGCTATACACAAAAAAGTACAAAACATTGCAGAGAGAAATGGAAAAAGGCCTGAATAAATAGGAGATCTACTATGTTCATGGACTAGAGAAATCGTTATTGCTAAGATATCAGTTCTCCTCAAACTGATATATACTTCAACATAATCTAGTCACAATCCAAAAAGGCTTTTTTGCAGAAATTGATAAACTAAGTGTAAAATTCATATGGAAATGAAAAGTACCTAGTATAACCAAAACAACTTTGAAAAAGAACAAAGTCAGAGAGCTAAAACTACCTGATTTCAAGACTTAGAAAGCCACAAGACAGTGTGATACTGGCATAACAATAGACAAATAGCTCAATAGAACAGTACAGAGAGTTCATAAATAGGCCCATACAAAATGATATTCCAGAAAGACAAAAGGAAATTTAGTGGTGCTGGAATAAGAACATGAATATCTGTATGCAAAAAACAGAAAAGAACTTCAGTCTATATCTCACACCATATACAAAAATTCCATCAAAATGTATTATAGACCTAAATGTGCAACCTAAACTATAAAACTTCTAGAATAAAACACTATAAGCCTTTGGGATATAAAAAAAAAATGTCTTAGATGCAACACCAAAACTATAGTCCATAAAAGAAAAATGTCAATAAATTATTCATCAAAATAAAAAAAAATGTCCTCCCTTTAAAACAGAACAACCAAAAACAAAAACATCTCTTCAAAAGACAGCAAGCACTGTAAAGAGAATGAAAGAACTTGTATTCAGAATATACAAAGAATTCTCAATAAAGAAACAAACTACCCAGTTTTTCTAAATGATAAAAACATTTTAGCACTTACCAAAGAAAATATATGAGTGATAAGTAAGTATATGATAAGGCAGTCATCATTAGTCATTAGGGAGATATACATTAAAACCACAATGAGAAATAATTAACACATAACACTGTATGTCAACTATACTTCACTGTGAATTGTGAAAGACTGTTGAATCACAGACCTATGCCTCTGAAACAAATAATACATTATATGTTAAAAAAAAGAAGAAGAAGAAGAAGAAGATAGCAGGACGGGAAGAATGAAGGGGAGGAGATCGAAGGGGGAGACGAACCATGAGAGACTATGGACTCTGAGAAACAAACTGAGGGTTCTAGAGGGTAGGGGGGTGGGGGGATGGGTTAGCCTGGTGATGGGTATTAAAGAGGGCACATTATGCATGGAGCACTGGGTGTTATACGCAAACAATGAATCATGGAACAATACATCAAAAACTAATGATGTAATGTATGATGATTAACATAATGTAATAATAAAAAATAAATAAAAATAAAATTGTGGATTCTGCCAAAAAATAATAATTATAATAAATTTTTTAAAAACCATAAGAGAAAATACACAGATACTATAATGTCTAAAATTAAAAAGACTGACCATACTATGTACTGATAAAAATGCAGAAGAACAGGAAATCTCAAACATTGGTGGGGGGAATGTAAAATAGAATGACCACTTAGAAAAAACACTTTAGCAATTTCTTTAAAAGTTAAACAACTACATACCATATGATACAGATACAGCCTTCACAGGTTTCTACCCAGAAAAATAGAAGCACATGTCCACAAAAATACTTGCACAAGAATGTTTGCAACTTTATCTGTAATGGCGTAAAACTGGAAACAACCCAAATGTCTATCAACAGGTAAATGGATAAACAAACTGTGGTATATTATACAATGAAATACTATTTAGCAATAAAAATAATGAACTATTAATGTGTGAACTTATCTCAAGTAATTATACCCAGTGAAAGAAACCAGGACTCCCCACCACCAAAAAAAGGGATAATTGTATAATCACACTTATATAAAAATCTAGAAAAATGTGAACTGAGGTATAGTTACAGAAAGCAGATCAGTGGTTGCCTGGGGGTGGAGGAAGAGCAAGAGTTTTAGGCTAGGATTATAAAGAAGAATAAGAAAATGTAGGGGTGATGGATAAGCTCATTATCTTGATTGTGCTCATGGTTCACAAATATAAAACTATGTCAAAATTTAGCAAATTATTCCCTTGAAATATGTGCAAAATTTAACAAATTGTTATATCAATTATACTACAATAAAGCCCTTTTTAGGTGTTCTGAAATAAAGCATAAATAAACACTAATACACATATATTACAAGGGATATCTTTTAAACTACTACTAAGAAAAAGAAAGAAAAAAGTAAAAATATTAGCCAATCTAGCAAAGTAGAGTAAAGAAAAAAGTGAAACAGGGCATGGAGAGTAAACACAGTAAACAAGACATAAAAATTAAGATTATAAAAATATGACTGGGGCGCCTGGGTGGCTCAGTCGTTAAGCGTCTGCCTTCAGCTCAGGTCATGATCCCAGGGTCCTGGGATCGAGCCCCGCATCGGGCTCCCTGCTTGGCGGGAAGCCTGCTTCTCCCTCTCCCACTCCCCCTGCTTGTGTTCCCTCTCTCGCTGTGTCTCTCTCTGTCAAATAAATAAAATCTTTAAAAAAAAAAAATATGACCAAATATGTAAGTAACCATAACAAATGTGGATGGTTTAAATTCTCCTATTAAAAGTTAAAATTCTCAAAGAGTTAATAAAAATCAGCTATATCTTGTCTATTAAAAAGCTATAGCTTCTCTGTAAAAGGTATACCTAAAATAAAATGTCACAGAGAATTGAAGACAAATGATGACATATCAGGCAAATACTAACCAGTGGAAGGATGGACTGGGCAGCCAAGGAGGTAAAGGGTTCAGATTTCCCATCAATAAAGAACTTACCATTTACATGCAAGGAATGCAATTGGCTGATGGCCTCCAGTTGTTAAGGCCTTCAGGATCCATCTCAGCTTTTGAGCTGAGGTCCTACACTTCCTAGCCAATAACTAAACAGTTTATTTTGCCACTTGTGCTCATGAAAGATTCTTCTTAGAAACAATCTTTGCTCCAGGGTTTATCACTGGTTTGGCCAAGACTTTGACAGTTCTATAACTGGATCTGAGGCTCTTGTATCCTGCTTCCTCCCCTTTCCTTTCACAGGTTTCATTCAGATCAGTGTCATGGTCTGAAGGCTTTCCCTCCCCTACCCTACTTCCTGCCCCTTTAATCTTTCACAAATATAACCCCTCTCTCCCAAATAACCTTTACTGCTCCTAACTCCATCTCAACCTCTGCTTCCTGGAGGACCTAACTGACACACCTGGTTCAGTTTCTAGATTTTTCTGATTCAACAGATCTAAAGTGGATTTGAGTAATCTATATAATTTTTTATTTCCCAACATGATTCTCATGTTTGACCACATTTAGCACCCCTGTAGGGGAAGATTTTAATGCATTTGTTTCCTGTGCAACATAATTTAACATTTAAAAACTATTTTGAAGTCTTTAAAGTGTCATTTATATGGCTGTTTGAGATATATTATCAAGTTAAGATGTAAACACAATTTTGCTTTTTTTTGTTTTTTAGTAATAGTTAAACAGATATTTTTGAACCCAGTTAACTATGAGCCTCATCCCACCCAGGGATGGATGAAGAATTAAGAAAAGGTAAAGGACAGGGTTTGATGTCTATTGTTGTGCACTGCTTGGTAATATTTATATGGGGAAGTTTAATGTTTTGGGGGCTTAGCCAAGTGGTGTCAAATTGGTTTGGTCAAAATCATGTGCTAAATGTGTTTACCTCCAAAAGAAACTAAGAATCTTTTTAATGATAAAGCCTAGTGTAGCCAAAAATGTCTGGAGAGGGGAAAACATTGACAAAAGAGCTGTCTTAATTGTTTCACATGGCAAAATGGACGAATGAATGGATTTTGTTTTAATTTCTACCATGATGAAAATTTTTAATATTTTTCCTGCTATGGAAAAGCAGACTTATTTTTTCATAAATTTTTATAAATAAAATATATTTTTCATAAGATTAAAAACAATTAATATACACATTCTTAATACTATATTCCACAGAAAAATTGAGGGCAAGGGTCATGTCATCGCTCGGCCATTCTCTTAGCACAGAGACCATATTTTATGGATACCCAAGTTCTTCCCCATAATGCATATTTAGCTGCTTATATACTCAACATCTGTTATTTGCTAAATACCTCACAATAAAATGTACATCATAAAAATATACAATTTCAGTTTATCATATATGAAAAACTATTAGGCATTAGCTATCAATCTCTATTGAGATATGAGTTCAGAAAGTAATTCCTCACATGTGTTCCCTCTCTCTTATTCCTGCTTTCTCATCAACATGACAGGAAAACATAAATCCAGTTTTGTCAAATAGTGTAATTTTTATTATAATCTTACATCACATTAGTTAACTGGTTGATTAAAAACAAGAGGTGGGAATCTTGCAGATATTAAAATAACAGTATATGGAAAGGCACATTCAAACATGGTTGAAGGGAACGTCAATTGATACAATTGGACATATCAATCAATAAAAAATGCACAAACCCTTTTGACCTGAAATTCCACTCAGGGAAATTATTCTATAAATATACTTAAACAAATATAAAGAGATCTATCCACAAGAAACATTCTATGTGGTATTGTTTATAATACCAAAACAAACAAATAAAACTTAAAACAATCTAAATGTCTACCACTAGGACTGTAGTTAATTAAATTATGACATAACCATACAATGGAATTTTATAACCATTAAAAAGAATGAGGTAGCTCTGCTTGTATTGATATAAAAGATCTTCAAGACTTATCATATTATTAGCTTTCTATAAGTGCAGAAGAGCATCATGATATGTTCCCATTTGTGTCTTCACAAGGATATGTGTTTATATATGTAAATAGACTTATGAATGCACACCCATACCTTGGTGTACAGATATATATACATAAAATTTTCTGGAAGAATACATAAAATATCTTGATTCTTCCTTCTGCGGAGTTCTTTCTTGAAGAAATTCAGTTTTCATTATCTACTATACTAAACAATTTGAATATTTTATCATAGCATTTGCTTTCTTTGTAATAATATCAGTTCTTCAGAGAACTACCTAATAGCAGCTAACATTCTAAAATTTTAATATATAAGGATATGTATGAAAACCTTTTAAAAATCTCTATCTTCTCAGAATCCTTGAAAAGCTAATTCCAAAATAGGTTTTCCATGCTAGAACTCTAAGAAAATCAAAATAGTAGTCCTGCTGTATCTTTATTCATTTGTTCTGTTGCTAGATTCCAATAACTTATGAAGTATGGAGACACAGCCCATCAACTTCACTTTGTAAAACCTGAAACCTCTTCACTTGCTCACAGTATCATAGAGTGGATTGTTCTTCTCTGTGTAGCTGGCATAAGGCTGCATTTCCTCCTAAGAAAGAACTCAAAGTTAAAATCAATTCAAAAAGCTGGAAGTCACCAACCACTTATGTTCTTCTCACAGGTGCCCCCAGATTTAGTATCTACAAGAGTGCTTATATTTGTGTCTCTGGGCTTACATGGCCGTAAGAGAAAGACTGTTTTCTATTATTTTGTCAAAAAATTTATTGATTATTTAAGTTTCAGTGTGAGATGATAATGTTGCGTGACAGTAGTAATGGAGAAGAATGAAGTAACATGAGAGGTATTTCAAAGGACAGGGTCAAAGACTTGGTAAGGTACTGGCTATGAGATTATGGAGCAGAAGAGGATTTAAAAGCAAGTAAGAGGGAAATGATGATGATATGGAGAAAGGGAAGTCAAGAACTGGAGATGGTTTCATGGGGGAGGAAAGACCAATTCAGTTTCTCCAAACATTATAGTCCAAATTTGGCAAACATGTGTTTTGTAAGATACAGTTCTTGAAATGAAAATATTGCTTGGAATGTGTATAAATAGTATAAGGTAGATAATTAACAAAACACGTACACCTGAGTACTAGCATTATGAAATTAGAATTTTTGCTTTTTAATTAAAATACTAATATTGAGGCAAATTACAAATTGCATGGCTATATTTTCACTTTGAGGCTTGAAAGTTTGCAAATATTCTTTTTAATGTTATCTTACCTCCTCAACAACTGAAGTAGCTTCCATTTTTTTTAATTTGCATTTTCTGCAAAAATAAAAATAAGCTGGAGTGAATGTAGAAAACATCATTATTTAATGAAAAATGGGAAAACAAAACAGTATATTATTGACAAGGGTGGTTCATTTTTGATAGAAGCCATAATAAAGCAGAAAAGAATTACCAGAAATAAGAATGTTACTTGTAGTTAATACACCTAAATGACATAATTCTGGATATGGGGAGAGGAGTGAAATTATGCAACAGAAGCATGATATATGGAATAAATGTGACACATCCTTATTGGTACATAATATGAATTATTGTAATTCTTTTCTCAAATACAAATCAGCATACAATGTCTCTACCAGGATCTTGCCCTAAATGGCCTATTTCACTATGCTTGCATGGCTAAGTAACCAAGCAAAAATCCCTCTTGTCATTTAAAGTAGTCCAAATCTAACACCTTTAGGACACACTTCTTGATTATGGGAGAGTTGATGTTAACATATTAATTTTAGCCCATCAATTCCATATATCTGACCCCTTCTAGCCCAATTAAACTAAGAAAAAACATCACTCAATACCTGCAGCAATCGATTTTCAAAATGGATCCCACAATGAATCCCACAATGATCAAGGTAATCAAAATAGAGGAGGTGATAGATAAAATAGTTAATTTCAGTGGTGATTGGTCACCTGTAAATATAGACACAAAAATATATGGTTTAACTCTGGTGCATCCAGATAATGGAATATTATTTAGCACAAAAAAGAAATGAGCTTCATGAAAAGACATGGAGGAAATTTAAATGCATATTACTCAGTGAAAGCAGCCAATCTGACACTGCTACATTCTGTATGATTCCAATTATATAGACATTCTGGAAAAAGCAAAACTATGGAGACAGTGTGAAGATCAGGGGTTGCTAGAGGTTAGGGTAGAGGGAAGAATGAGTAACTGGAGCATAGAGGACCTTTAGATAGTGAAACTACTCCATGGGAAGCTACAATGGTGGATATATGCTACTTCTACATTTGCTAAAATTCATAGAATATACACCTAGAGTGAACCATAATGTAAATTACAAACTTCGGGTGATAATGTTGTGATAATATAGGTTCATCAGTTCTCACAAATATACCAGTATGGCATGGGTGATGTAGAGAGAGGGGGAGACTGTGCATGTGTTGGGGCAGGGGTAATATGGGAACTCTCTGCACTTTCCACTCAATTTTGCTGTGAACCTAAAACTGCTCTAAAAACTAAAGTCTATTAAATATATATACACATATATATATGTAACTAAATAAATGTTCAAGGATGTCTCAGAGTTCATGAAGTTCACTTCTGTGATTTTATTTTAAACAGTTTTGACTCATTAATAGTTCAAATCATTGTTATAATAAAATTGCTTTATTAATTCTGATTCTAGGGTGTTTAGCAAGACATCATCATCCTAAGTCAAGGTTTTGGGGCTTTAAGGATTCATGAATGATGAATTCCTACAGGAGAGATGTGCAGACTAAATTTCTCAGTTACAGTAATAGCAGGGTGTTTCTCATCTCCAATATTCAGAAGTAAATGGGGAATTGTAAAAAAGGTAATTGGAAAAACAACCTAATCCTGAAGTCACCTTTCTTCCAGGTCCTTGAAACTGACATGAATGCATGGCAGCAACTTTCAATTATTTATTAACTCTGGCAGCAATATAAAGCTCAGTCTGACAAGAGAAGTCAACAAAGGAATTGCCAGCTCTGGGAATCAGTGGTTCTAAGACCTTGTTCCTGCTGTACCCTGAATTGGGCTGAGGGCAACAGATGGAGGTAAGTGGAAGCTAAGCAGGCTGGCGTCCTCTCCCTCCACATTCCTTCAACAGTTTGTTTTTAAACATTGCATTTCTGTGTCTTTTATTTGAAAAAGAAAAAATTGTTTTACAGTTAAAATCAACAACATTGTCTTGAAATCCCCTCTTTCAAACTAATGCACTTTCTTTCATTGGAAGTATAGCCACAGAGGCTGAGGATCTGCCCTGCAAAGAGACAGGAAGGAGACCCCAGCACTGGCTGAGAGTGAATGAGACAGTCCCTTAAGTCTGAGCATCCATAAACATGACATCATATTGTAATGCCAGGTGGTCAGATTGCATACATAAGCAGAGCACAATTAGTCTCCTCAGTATATAATGCTAAAATCTTTTTTTAAAATCAGCTTAACAGTGGATATTGGAAAATGGTGGTTTAAAGACATGGATTTTTCTCCTCTCTCTTCTTAAACTTTACTAAATTATCAGTAGGAAAATTTTCTAAGTATAGACTTTCTAAATATAGACAACGAACATGGATGAAGATAAGCAGATGAAAAATTTCAACTTGTTCTTAGGTGAAAAATGTACAGAAGAAGGCAAATAATTTACAGTAGAATAAGTAAGAATCTTACTGTCCATAGCACACCAAGAAGACTCTAGAATAGGAAAGGTCAAATATATAAAAAGGGGCAAATGGGGGGTGAAGTGTAAGTTAAAAGTTGGAAGCCTTTTTGAAGGTCTGTATTAAGAAGAGGTAGGCTGCCAAGTCCACTCCCTCCCTGTGCAGCCAGGTCACTTCACCTTCCTCAAACAGCAGGAAACAGGAAGTTTGCCCAGAAAAGGTGAACGGGAAAGATTCCAGAGTCAAGGATCCAGACATAATGGAGGGTGGAGAGGAAGTACCAGATTGAAGAGAGGTATTAAAGAAAAGTCTGAGTTCTGAACAGTCTCTCTCTCTCTCTCTCTCTCTCTCTCTCTCTCTCTCTCTCTCACACACACACACACACACACACACACACACACACCTCTTCTTCTCTGCTCCCATAACACTAATAGTCAAGGTTATCCCTCTTAGACAATAGACTGGAGAGTTATTTTCTGCAGAACCTGAAAAGCCTCAGAGAAAAGAATTTCAGATAACTAAAGAATCCGTATCTAAAAATTGTTTTTTCATTTACCTCCTTTCAGACTATTGAAGCTAACTAGTTGACAGGACCACCCACAGATAACATAGCTTCCAATCAGTTCATTTTTGAAAGTTCACTTTGAAATGAATGGATAACCAAGGATTACCAGAGAGTAAAGGAAAGCTTCATGCATAAAACAAAGAGATTAAAACTAGTAAATGTCTGGAAGGCAGAAGGAACTCAGATTAAACAGACATGGAATCAAGCAGAGCACTGTGGGAAAGAATGCCCAGGACAATCGCTGTGCAGCAGGTCTAGTGACTGCCCAGGCCAGATTAGAACAGAGTATGTAAAACTCAAGAAGGGATGTCTTCAAGAAAAAAAAAAAAAACAGAACTGATGGATTACCCAATAAATTTGACCATGTGGAAAGTAGGATTAATAGGGGTTTTCTAATTTTGTCACTGAGCTTAATGATAATTAATAATAAGTACATATTTTTTTTAAGATTTTATTTATTTATTTATTTGAGAGAGAGAGTGAGAGAGAGCACGAGAGGGGAGAGGGTCAGAGGGAGAAGCAGACTCCCCGCTGAGCAGGGAGGCCGATGAGGGACTCGATCCCGGGACTCTGGGATCATGACCTGATCCGAAGGCAGTCGCTTAACCAACTAAGCCACCAAGACACCCCATAAGTACATATATTTTTAAGGAAACTAAAGAGTAAAGTTTAAAGCAATCATAGAGACTACTATAATATATCTAAGAAATTATAGGAAAAACCTGGAGAAGAAAATCCCGCCAAACTAAAAATCTGTGAAGAAAATGTATGAGTGACTTGAGCCTTCTTCTAAATGCACAAAGATTTCTTTAAAAATACAATTTAGTCTTCTCCTAAAACCAGAAGTATTAATTTAAAAGTACACTGCTCAAGCCAACTTACTACTTGTATAGAGTGGACATTAAATTATTAAATTATTTTTCATTTTACTTTATTAAATAATAAACTTCGCTCTGAAATATGGCTTTAAGGAGGAGAAGGACATAAAAAAGAGGGTGGGGAGATTATGCTTGAGAGAAATTCTCTGCACACTCCTGTTTCATTCGCCTGTAACTTCTCTGAAAGAATGAACATATCAAGCAAAAACTGGAATTACTAACCTCGATTCAGCTCTAAGGACAGAGTCTTGTTGCCGGTCACGTGGGAGACAGAGCAGGACACATTAGACACCTGGCGGTCCTCCCAGTGGCATGTACTCAGGACGGTCACCGTGCCATTGCCCAACTGTTGTTCCACAGTGTGACAGTCTCCCCCTGGGGTCCAGGAGATCTGTGCAGCTGGCTTCCCTGCAGCCCTGCACACCAGGGTTCCATTGCTGCCTCGAAACAGGGTCACCTCGGGGGGCACTGCAGAGATGCAGGGGAAATGCTTCAGGCTTAACACATGGGGTATGGAATAGAGAGAGATTTGGTTCAGTCCCAGATCTGCTTCTCTGACGTGCCACAATATGTCATGCTCCTTACCTAATACTTGGAGGTGATATCCAAAACCAAAATTCCCATCAGGTGCGGCCACTTCACACCTGTAATATCCATCATGAGTGATGGCCACGGGATCAATCTGAAGGGCAGGATTCTGATCGGGTCTGGACTCCCAGGATATTCTCTCGTCGGTACAGTTTCTTTCACTGGTCTCATTGTTATCTCTCCTGTAGGCTCTAATGCAGGAAGGCTTGTCTCTGAGGTTTATTTCCCACCTTATTATCAGCACATTGGTTAAGCCGACAGGAGGGCAAGTGAGCACAGCCTTTGTAGCCACAGGTACAGACTGAGAAGTGTTAGCTGGACACACACACAAGGAGAAAGAAAAGAAAAGCTTGATAAAAAACTTCAGGTGTTAAATTTTCCACAACATATTACATAAAGTAGTACTAGAACACGACTTTGCTGGTGATCCTATCCCAAAATATTAGGCTTACATAAAAAATTAAACATGAACCAAATGGTATATAACACATTAAACCTAATCCAAAGATGAAACCATTTGTCTCCTATATTCTGTGTTATTAGATAAACTATATTTATCATATGTATGAGAAATATTTTAAGGGTCTAAAATCGCTTCATAAGTTCTGTATAAAACAAATAAGAAAACACAATTTAAATTAAAGGACAAAGTCATCTAAATCTAATCTTTTGGTAGTAGAAATTATTAGATTTATCTTATAACTGATTCTCCTCAGGACAGAAAGTGGAAAAATTGATGATGTGGTTTTCTCCTCCTAAGTTTTGATCAGAGAGACTAAATCAGTAATATCAGAATGAAATGCCTATCCCGAAGGGTGCCACTTCGGACAAACATAAATAAAAAGCATAAGATGGCATTCAGGTTGAACAAACTGGACTTTTTAAAGCTACTTTTTATTTGGAGAATCACAAAGTCAGTAAAACCAACAGATCTTCCTTCCTTCCTACTGAGTCACACATATACTGCCCAACAGTCCCACTATGAACTTTGCTCACAGATGTTGTTTCTATACATTCTACCTAATTATGAGGATTAAATGAAGAAGTTCACTGCTTTTGCCCATCATTAATGTAAAAATTAAGCCCTGCAACCTATGATTTTTCTCCAAGATAGAAGCCTCAGCTCTCCCATAAACACACATAATGCATGCATGACTGGGGGGGCTTTGCTGAGAGAGGATTAGGGGCATCAGGTACCACATACTGTAACCCAGGTGAGTGGCAGGAAGCTCATCACTTTAACGTGAGCCGAACAAGCTGTGGGGGGCTAAGTTGTTATGTGGGTGAACCTCGTTGTGCTAAACTCTGTATGTGAGGTCTCTCCTCTCCTCTTCTGGTATCACTTGCCTCTTCTGTGATGGACTCAAGACCTTGCATGTCACAGCCAAATCAAGATCCCACAACTGCAGGAAGCAAGTGGGGGTGGATTTTAGAGCAGATCTGAGAGGCAGTTAAATCCATGCTCCTTCCACCACTGCAGGTGGCTTCCCACCCTAGGCAACCTGGCCAAGGCTCAGAGGCCAGCAGCAACATAGCTGCTTGGAGAACAGCTAGGGCTGGGTGTGGGTGAGCACACATGTGCCCAAGGGCAGGATGCTGAAGATGAACGCAGAAAGACAAGAGGCTGCTGAGGAGCATGTTGTGAGTGTTCTCTGTTTGCACTTCAGCTTGTGAACAGTCTAAGGCTTTAATATTTTGCCTGATACTTATTCTCAAGATCTGACTCTATTATTTTAAAGGAACCTACGAGCTGATCAATTAAACATATGCATTTTAACAAGGGCACAGTCTCCAGTGAAGTAGCTCCATCGGTGAGGATCCCAAGCACCATGGGTAGTCTCTGTTCTTTCACCTTGCTCTGCTCTGTGACCCTCCACCAATCCCCCTTCACCTACAATGAGACTTCTTATGGGATTGCTGTTATTCGCCCTTTCCAATCCTCTTCTTTCTCTTTTCATACCTGTTGTGATAATTTGCCAATGGCCAGTCACTCCCCCACACTCAGTGGGTTGGCACCTGTCCAACAAATATAATCTCCACACACCCTGTGATCAGCTATGGTGATTTCACCTCCAGCTTCACAGAGGGACAGTGGGTAGATTCTCATATTTGCTCCAGAACGAGCAGTTGATGTCCCAGCGTTGCTGCATCCTGTGTCTATGACTACCCCCCCAGTCTCCTGCAGCCTTCTGCACACAAATCCTTTTTCCTTTCTGTTCTCACTGCCTTACCCTAGTTTAAGACCCCATCACCAAACAACTGGATCACTACAGAAGCCTACCACCATCTGTCTCTCTCTCAAAACTCTCCTCTCCTCAGTCCATACCTTACCTTGCAGCCAGGTACATGATTCTGTAACCCAGGGGTGACCCTCTCCACTCTGACACCCTTCAGCGATCTCTCACTGCCTGAAGACAACACTTACATGTCTTTGTACTGGCTTTGAAAGCCCTCTTTTCACATTGACTCACCTTGGCAACCTTATCATCCCTGTGTCGCCCCAACACTTCAAAAAGGAAACAGCAAGCACAAGTGCATATCTAGGTCTTCCCTCAATGGTTCTTGGAGTCTGGGATGCCTACACAGCACCCTCTGTCTATGAAAACACTCCTCTTCCTTCAAGAGCCAATTCACATGCTGCATCCTCCTGAAGCCTTCTCAGAGCCTTGGTGCTCTCTCTCCCTCCTCTACATCCCCGGCACACCTGATGTGAGGGCTTATCTCCTCTATTGTACAGGGTATCTGTGCTTATTTCTGGGTTCCCCCACAAAACTGAACCCCTTTAGGGCGCTTTGGCAGTCTAGCTCACATTGCTCACCTCTGTGCTCCCCACAAAGCCTGGCACAGTGCCTGATAGAGAGAGCTCCATAATCTTCCCATGGAATTGAACTGCTTTGGGGGAGGAGGACCAGGGTCATTCAGGGTCCCCCACACCACAGCATTCAGATCACCATACTCTTCAGCTGGGCTCAAGGCTGGCCCCCTGACCAGACCATCAACTACGTTTCTAAGGAAGTTCCTCCCTTCCTCCCTTTAGTTCTGGCTCCTAGAAAAAAATTAAAAAGCATATTACCTTCCACAGGAGGTGTGAGCCTGCTCTGCTTTCCTTCCACAGATGACCTATTTGTTGTAGCTAGAAAATATTCAAAGAAAAGTAAATGAAATCAATTTTAGGTGCCTAAATGGAGTGCAAGCCACTATGTATCCACAAATCGTACAGACACCATGATAGAAAATCAGTTAACTGTAACTAAATTCCACAAAAAGCTTTGCAAAACAGAAATTAGAAGTTATTCCATCAAGTGGAAAAACATGTTAACACTTGAAAATTATGTTAGAAACCCTTAATCAATTATTCCATTTATGGGACACCATACTGTATACTTGACAACAGTTTTGTACAAGGTAGCCTGACTCCATCACTTTCTTAATCATAGTGGATTGGTCCATCATGGGTACCTCACATGAGCTGGGCTGAGTATAGTGCTTTCTAGACATGACACCCCCAGATTAAAGTTGCTTGATCCAGTTGTGAGCACCTCACCCAGATGCCAATCAGATTATTTTCTCAAGAATTTTGGAACCAGTTTGAGAAGAAGGGTTCATCCCTCTTTTTCCCTCATTTTTCCTACTGCGATGGCTAATTTTATGTGTCACCTTGGTTAGGCCATGGCTCCTCACTATTTAGTTAAACAGTATCCTAGATGTGTCTGTGAAAGTATTTTTTAGATGAGATTTACACTTAAATCAGTAGACTTTGAGTAAAACAAAACCCTCCAAAATGTGGGTGGGCCTCATCCAATCAGTTGAAGACCTTAGTAGAAAAAGACTGACCTTCTTGAAAAAGGAATTCTGCCAGCACACTGCCTGCAGATTCAAACTACAACTAACTGTTCCTTGTGTCTTCAGGCTGCTGGCCCACTCTGCAGATTTTGGATTCACCAAGCCTCCACAATCATGTGAGCCAATTCTTTAAAATAAATATTTCTCTAGATACATTGATAGATAGATAGGTAGATAGAGAGATGATAGATGATGATAGATAGATGATTGATGATAGATAGATGATTGATCGATAGATAGATAGATGATAGATAGATTAGATAGATCTCTCATTGTTCTGTTTCTCCTAGGAACCCTGACTAATACATCTACCTTCTGAAGAATGAAGCAGAAACAGAGAGAGAAGTGACATTCTTCACCTAGCTCAAGTTTCTGTGTATAGTTCCTGAGAGCAACATGTATTCCTTTCCTTGCGTTCTGTAGAGTTACTGACAATCAAATAGTTCGAATCTACTTCAGACTTGGTTTCTGAGAATTCCCATTTAAGTATTGTTTTTTTAAAAAAACAACAATGAAATATAATACTTCTATGATTTAAGAGCCTAATAAAGTTCTTCCTCTGGGTTTATAAGACCACCATTTAATAAGCATTTTATGAGTCCTCTGTTTATAAAAATGTACTTCTTGCTTCCCATTCTAATTATGTACCCAATTCTACCACATTAAAAAATAAACAAAGAAATTCACTAAAGGTCTAAGAAGTAAGCATAGTTAGGCCTCTAAAATAATTAGGCTTTTTTAGGCAAGTAAGTTGTACTGGCTTGGTCTGGAAAGAAGGCAAAGAATGAAGTTGTGGGGCACCTGGGGGACTCAGTCGGTTAAGCGTCTGCCTTCAGCTCAGGTCATGATCCTGGAGTTCCGGGATCCAGTCCTGCATTGGGCTCCCTGCTCAGCGGAGAGCCTGCTCCTCCCTCTGCCCCTCACCCTGCTCATGCACTCTCTGTCTCTCAAATAAATGAATAAAATATTTTTTGAAAAATGAAGTTGTAACAATTAAATTTAGCTCGTATTGGGCTCAAGAATCTATTCCAGAAACAGATAAGTCAGAGATGACTTCAGAGGGCTTACTGAAATCGAGCTATAACTTAGATATTCTATATTTTAAAAGCTCTTTTATAACACAGTATAACTTAGCCTTTCCAGACCTCTCCCATCCTATCACACCCGGCTTCTTAGAGGTCTAAGGTCTGACAGTTTCTTCCTTTGTCAAATTCACCAACAACCAAGACTAAGGGTTTATAATGAGAGAAAATTTAGGATGCGGGTAGTTTTGATGATGGTATTGTAGTTTGCATTTGGAAGTGTCAAAAGGAAATCTCTAAGTTGTATTAGGAATAAGGGATAGAAGTAAGGTGGGCTGGGGGTACTGGAAGAGAAAAATAAAAAACTGCAAACTTTTTCCATAAAGGGCCAAAGAGTAAACATTTGAGGTTTTGCAGTCCATATGGTCTCCATTGAAAATATTCAATCCTACAATGGCAGCAAGAAAGCAGCCATATATAATACATAAGTCAATGGGCATGGCTTTTTTCCAATAAAATTTTAATTATAAAAATGAGCTGGCTGGATTTTGCCCATGAGAGAGAGTTTACGGACTCTTGATTTAAAGTATAGTGTTTGAAAACTTCATTCAAATCAGTTATGAAGACATCAGTTAATGCCAGACCAGGTTCTTCTAATAGAATCCTATACTATCCAGACATGACTTTAGCTATATCTGATAAGAACGAAGTTGCAGATATTCCCAGACAAGATATCTGCAACCTCTCATGTCAGAGATAAATCTCACAAGTCGGAATGTACTCTTAAGTGTGCAAAAGGATTGTTTTCAGAAGAGAAGAAAATGCTTATTTTCACAAATGTTCCTCTAATTACTTTTATGATACTGGAAATACTTTTTAAACTTTGTTAATTGTTGATATATGAGTCCTTTCGTTTTATTATCTCCACTGCAGCTAGTTGCCATGGAATGCTGATTTCATATCAAGTATCTTCATTGAAAATAGAAAGCGTTCTTGTCCAGTCTTGCTTGAAGCTTCATGTACACCAAAGTAGTAAAACAAATGTGTCAACCTTCTGACCAATGGTGCTGTGATTTCTTTATTTATCTGAAACCAAATTTTCTTTAAAGTTCAGAAAGATTATACTGTTACATTAACATCAGAGGTCTAATTTAACACTTTCACAATGTACATATATATAGACCGAAACAAACGTGAATTGTGTTTTTTAAAATATATTTATAGTAGAAAAGTAATTTAATGACTCATTAGATTAGTCACCTAGGGCTGCCTTACTATAAGACGACCAACGTGGTCACATAAAACAACAGAAATGTATTCGCTTCTATTTCTGGAAGCCAGGAGTCTGAAACTAAGATGGCAGCAGGGCTGTGTTCCTTCCAGCAGCTCTAGGAAGAATCCTCCGTGCTTCTTCCAGCTTTTGGTGGCAGCTAGCAATCCTTGGTATTCTTTGGCTTGTAGATGTGTCATTTCAGTCTCTGCGTCTATCTTCATATCGCCTCTTCCTGTGTCCTCTCCTTTTCTCTTCACTTCTAAGGACTCTTGTCATTGGATTTAGGGCCCACTCTCTTCCAGGATGATCTCATCTCAAGCGCTTTAACTTAATTACATCTTTAAAGACCCTTTTTCAAATGCAGCCACATTCACAAGTTTCAGCTGCATATTTCTTTGGGGGGGAACACCATTCAACCCACCATTCTTGGGGGGCACCATTGTTGCATTGTTTCCAACCTTTAGATTTATAGTTTATATAATTATTTTACTTATTTTATTCTGTAGTTGACCAGGAATCTAATTTTTCTAGATGGCGAATAATTGAGTGAAATTAGAAAGCATATTTATAAGTCCAGGAATGCATTTTGAAGTCACCGGAATTATTTTTCAATGAAGTGAGGTATATAACAAAAATAAAAATTTAAAATATAAAGAAAAAGTTAACTATAATGGCAACTTTGGGCGACAGTACGGCTGAGTGGGGAACACAGACAATAAATTACTAATATCAGCTAAGACCTACTTTTTTAAACCCATTTCAAATATTGAATGAAAAATGTAACTTACATTTCAAAAATTGTATGAAAAAATGTTTTTGTTTATTTTATTATGTTCTGTTAGTCACCATACAGTACTTCATTAGTGTTTTGTTTTGTTTTGTTTTGTTTTCATTTTAATTTATTATGTTATGTTACCATACATTACATCATTAGTTTTTCTTTTATTGTGTTATGTTAATCACCATATATTACATCATTAGTTTTTGATGTAGTGTTCCATGATTCATTGTTTGCGTATAACACCCAGTGAAAAATTTTTGACATGCCATTGGTTTGCTTAGTGATCACCATTCTTGAAAAAGATACTAAATAAGCACAGAAATAATTTTAGAGTGAAATATTTATGAACTCTTCATAAAACAATATTATATTTAGACACTTTTAAACAAGAGTCTATAACTACATATAAGGCAATTCAAGTTCTTAACATAAAAACTGTACCAGCATCAAGTACGCTTCTAGTAGAATTATCATTAAAAGATGACCATTACCCAAACTGTAATTGGCCTTACCCATTTGCAGCTGCGTTAAGTTTCTTGGTGTCCCAGAACTTCGCACTCCTGCACGCACATACCCTGAAAAGACATATGCGGTGATCAGAAGAATACACATTAGTATTTTTCTGACTCCTGGGTAAAGTCACACTTTTTTCACATTCTTCAGGCCATTTTTGGATTGCGGTTGCCAATAAAAACATAAGTTATGACAGGCAATAAGTCTCAGGACAATTTGCCCCAGGATGAACTTCTGACTTGAACTTCCTACCTGTTTGGCATACCCCTGCTTTAGATCCAGAGTGTCTGTCACCACCCTCCTGTCTTTATATTCTACTCACAGTATTTCTTATTCCTGGCTTATGTGCATTTACTTCACCTCCAATTGTGAAAGAAATGGCTTTACCATCCATTACAGGCTTTTCAGGCACCAGTGAGTAGGTCAAGAAACGCTAAGTGAAATAAGTCAAGCAGAGAAAGTCAATTATCATATGATTTCACTTATTTGTGGAAAATAAGGAATAGCATGGAGGACATTAGGAGAAGGAAGGGAAAAATGAAGGGGGAAAATTGGAGGGGGAGATGAACTATGAGAGACTATGGACTCTGAGAAAAAAACAGGGTTCTAGAGGGGAGGGGATTCGGGGGATGGGTTAGCCCGGTGATGGGTATTAAAGGAGGGCACGTACTGCACGGAGCACTGGGTGTTATATGAAAACAATGAATCATGGAACACTACATCAAAAACTAGTAATGTACTGTATGGGGACTAAGATAACATAAAAAAATTAAATTAAAAGAAAGAAAGTTTAATAGTGGTATGTTCATTGAGTGTTGGTATGGAACAAAAAAGAATTTTCCTAAGCGTTGTTGAAATCATATCATATAGACAATGGTCTATTAAGTTCAAATTTTGTAAGGCAAGCTCTAAGTAGGAATTGCTAATAAACATTTTTTTTTTTTTTTTTTTGAGCAGCAACTCCTGGCAAAGTACTCACCAAGCATAGAAACATCGTAAAAAACAATGCCCTCTTCTCTCCAAGAGCTTAAGGTCCAGGCAAGGAAGCAGCTATTTATACAATTAGAAAGTAAAGTTTTCAGAGTGATGATAGAAACAAGCATAATGTCCAGAAGTTAAAAAGAAAAAATGTTTAATTCTAAGAGAGCAAGGGTAAAAGATTAGGGAAGATTCTCTACAACAGGTGATATTTGGGCTGGATCTCAGTAGATGAGTTCTGCAGGGAGACAGAAGGAAATCTTTTTGCACACAGAAAGAAAGCCATTTAGAAGATAGAAAGCTACTTGGGACTTTCAAAGAATTACGAATAGTTCAGTGTTGCCATTAAGTGCAAAACAACAGATGTGTGATTAGAATTGAGGCTGGATATTGGCAGGTTCTCACTGTGGAGGGCACAAAACTCCTAGAAAGTGTTCACAAGGAAATGATACACTTCTGGTGCATCTAGAGTGGGTGTACCTGACTGGCAAATAGAAACATTTTAGGGTAAGATTTAGTGCACAGTATTTTTCTAGAGAAATTTTGAACCCACTGCTCCTCTGAGCTACCCTTTTCTTTAATAAAACATTGTTTTTAAAATAACAATTTTTGAGCATTTGCACAAGGAACAAATTTTGGGTAACTAGCATATGTTATTTATTTCAGCCTCCCCATAGTGACAAGTATTTTAACGTCATTTTACAGATAAAGAAATGTAGACTCATGGTGATGAAGCAGTTTGTCCAAGGCCACCCTGCTTGTAAGCTGCTCTAATTGCCCAATTATTCTTGTGCAAGTAGGTCCTACTACACTGAATAGAAACCAAGGGTTGGATCCTAAGAAATGCACTAGGATAAATATACTACCCAAATTAATCTAAATTAAGAGAGTCAAAGAAGCAAGTCCAAGCCATGTTTTTGGGGAAACACTGAGAGACAAAGGTCTGAAAGAGTATATCAAATGGCAAGAAAATAGAATCGGGATTATAATGGCGTATGGACACAAGCATTATGAATTCTGGATCTGAATAGGAATAGGAATAGTTAAGCTAAGGAGGAGGGTTGGAGACAATCGCCGAAATTTGTGGGCCAAACTCATCACTCCCTCACTAGATTGTAAGCTCCATGAAGGCAGGGATTTTCATCTATGTTTTCCATTCCACATCCTCAGTGCTTAGAAGAGTGGTTTGCACAGCTCCCTGACATGTAGGTGGCTCAAGCTGGGTTAAAAAGATAAAGGTCAACACAGCCTTACAGCAAACTGTACTAAAGATATGGAGAGTTAGTTTACAGAAGCAGTACAAAGGTCTTATAGGAAGATGCTCATACATCATTCATGGTAAAAGAAATGCAAATCAGAACTATGCAGAAATATCGTTTCTCACCTATTAGACTGCCAAAGGCCAAAAATTTGACAATGTACTTTGGAGCTGTGTAGTGATAGGCATGCCAATATAAAGCTGATGGGAATGTAGAATGTTACAACTTCAACAGAGGGAAATTTGGCAATATATAGCAAAATTACATATGCATTCCTCTTCTGACCCAGCAATACCAATTCTCAGAATCTATCCTAAAGATACACAGGCAACAGTATGAAAAGAATACATGAACAGGACTATTCATCATGGACTATTTTAACAACATTGTAATAGCAAGACTTTTAGAAATAACCCAATGGCCACTCATAGGGGATTAGTTTTCTAAACTATGGTACTTCCACGAAATGAAATATAATGAAACTCTTAAAAAGAATGAGGGATAGTTCTATAAACTATTATGAAGGGATCTCCAAGATATATTGTTAAGTAGAAAAAGTAGGATATACAAAATTGTATATAGTACACTACTGTTCATAAGCTATGATGGGAGGGGTGTGTGTGTGTGTGTGTGTGTGTGTGTGTCTGTTCTTTCTTTCCTTGCTTATAATTTCAAAACTAAATGGATGAAATAGGAACGGGTATAGAAATGATATGTCTCCGATTATATAGATTTGACTTTGGAACTATGTAACCATTTTCCATAATTATAAAGCATAACCAAATTACTTGTAAACACTAAAATCACGAAGCAAAGTGAAACAAATGAACCTAACTGCTCATAGAATAACCACGTATAGAGCAGTTATTCCAACTGACTTTCAAAACACAGCAATTTGACTGTATGTCTCTAGTGGAATATAACTTAACCACAAAAATAATTGCAAAAAAAAATCTTTACCTATTTTCAATAATTATACTGTCAGTGGTAGTGGACACTACACTGGAAAACTTCTGGCAGTTTTTTTTTTAAGTCAAACATGTGCCCACCATACAGCCTGACCATCCCAATCCTTGGTATTTACTCAAGAGAAATGAAAACATATGTCCACACAAAGACTTGTGCATGAATGCTCATAGCAGCTTCATTCACAACAGCCAAAAGCTGGACACAACCTAAATATCAATTAACAGATACATGGATATATCGCCCATATGATGGAATACTACTCAGCATCAAAAGGAACGCACAGCAACCTTGAGGATTCTCAAACTCATTCTGTTGTGTGAAACAAGCAGACACAAAGAGTATACACTATACACTACACAAAAGAATGCTACTAAGATGAAATGTTAGCTCATCTGTCTGTGGTGCCAAACAGCAGATCAGTGGTTGCCTACAGATAGGGACAAAGGCAAGGATGAACTGCAAATATACCTGGAGGAATATTTGGGGAATAATGGGAATGTTCCGTATCTTGTTTGTGATGATTCACAGGAATATGTCAAAACTCATCAAACTGTACCTTTTCAATGGATGCAGTCAATGGTACATAATTGCCCCTCAATTGAATTAAATACAGTATCAGAAACATCAGATTTTAACACACGTAACATTAGAACATGCATCCACACAAATAAACACAAAACAAAACACAAATGGAAAAACCCTTGACACTGAAAATAATGTTTAAAAAAATTTTCCCATCTAAGTCAAAAGCATCAGTAGAAGTAAGATTGCTTTGTGATTTTAGTACAAATGAAACCTCTTACTCACTTTGAGCACCAGAAGTTTCCTTTCCCAAATCGTCATTGTCATAAGCCTGAGCAAGCATACACCACCCACACAACAGACATTATATGGGCATGACCGTGCAAAGCCATGCTCCAAAGGCTTCCTCCAGTGAGGGGGGCGGGGGAAGGCTCTCAGAAAGAGCACATGGTTTTTTTGTGAGGTTAAACAGTTTTTATCTATTCTCATATCCTGTGGTCTGCTGTGCTGTCCCGACTAAAAAAGTGAGAGATAGGCATTGTTGATATTTCATCACTCCCAATAAAAGCCCCGGGTCAAGTAACTGCTAGTAACCTAATTAGAATGTGGATTATGCCATCCTCCAATAGTTACTAGGGTTGCTAAGATTCATGTATTAGTTCCAGTGTGGGGGGATGGGAAACAAAAAAGTCAAGGATTTCTTGCCCTTTCATTCCTTTGCAGGTTCTTTGAGGAGAATGCAAACAAAGCAGAAAGGAGGCTAATACAATGAATTTTAAGCTAAAATAATGCTTAACTGGGGGCAAAACTGGAGCCTAAAGTATTTGCTATGCTCTAATAAGATGCCCATATATCTGCAAAAGAGAATCATGTGGTATAGTTCCATTTTTACATTTCTTTTGACATTTCTTTACAGAACTTGGGGCCTCTAAGCTAATAACTAACTAGAAGTCATTCTTATTGCTTATTATGGTCTTTCCATCTTCACTTGTCATCTTTATTGTTATATAACATTGAATGAATTCACCACTTTGAAAAAAAACAGAATACAGAATACATTGAAATACATTTCAATACATTGAGATCTATGGAAATATCCTAATGTTTTTCATAAGGAAAATCAAGAAATAGAATTATTTCATTCTACATTTGATGTTTCAAGCTTTCAAACTTCAAAACTCTACAAGTTATTATAACAAATATAGTGCTAGACAATTTTGGATTAGCAATGGCTGCAAAATACGAGAGATATGAGTTTTATTTCTCACTCTGCTTCTTTTCTGAATCATTTTAGATAATTAAATGAATCCATACGCTCTAGGTTTCCCCTCTGC